TTGGCAACGTTTTCAAACCGTTGCCTCTGCAACTCGATTCTTGATCGGCAGTATGGGTCACGACCGGCGTTCGCAGCCAGAATGTTTGGAAGAACCCGGACACGAGACGTGTTAAGCCGGAAGGAGAACGGGCGTGTAGGTGCATACAATATTGATGCCTGGGGCCCTAGAGAACAAGAGTGGAACGCATAAGGCGAGCAGCCTCAGTGTTGTCCACGGGGTAGGTTTCAAAACCAGGCGTGTCGGACTTGATGCAGTTTTGACGAAGCCAACGGTTTGACATTGTTTGGCAAGCAGGAAACAAGCAGCGCCCAGTGCAGCCATGACGGCGGGCGCTAGCCTAGACGGACCTGTGACAGCGTGTGTGGGGACGACTGTGCCTCGGACGTTGCCTTTGTTGTCGGCAGCAGCACTGTGCTTTGGCAACAGCGAGGGTTTGGGCACGCTGGAGCTGGTTGCGTGGTCGACCAGCTTGGCGGCGTGCCACTTGTTCCGACACGAGTTCGTGGGAACATGCGAGGTGGAGATAACGCGCAACATGCAAAGGTATGGATGACGACGCGGTGAGACAGGCGAAACGAGAGTGTTCGGATCGACTGTGTTCCGCCTTGCGCATCAACACATCAGGCATCCATTCAGGCGCAGGCGCTTGGCGGGTCCTGCGGGCTGCTACTGGCTGTCAGTGGCGGGGCTGTGGCAGAGCGCCTCTCTCAAACACCTGTGGCTTGGGGCTGATACTGGCGCTGCGTCAGGGCGTCTCCAGAACACACAGGGCCGCGACGGCGACGAGAATGAACAGACGCTCCAGAGCAGCAGTTGTAGCAGCCGCCCGCTGCGCCCGCACCCCGCCCGCACCCCGCCCGCCGTCCAGCCAACCTTTAAGTTGCCCGCAGTGCCCAGACGGCGAGTGAGTGAGACGAGAGCGTCGTCTGCGACGGTTGCAAGCCACTGCTGCAGTGCTGGTGTGGAGAGGACAGGGATGGCAGTGCGCAGCCAGCAAAAAAAAAGGCGTGGGCCAGGCTCTTTCTTTCATCAACAGCGCGATCTAGACACGAGAGGCGGACAGGAGGGCCATGGCGGCAGCGTCGTCAGGCGTTGGCGGCGAGGGATGGCGGTGAGGGTTGAGGGTTGAGGGTGTGTGTGTGTGTGTGTGTGTGTGGCCATGTTGGTGGGTTGCCGGTGAGGAGAGAGGGATGGATGGACGGACGGATGTGGATGGGTGGATGGATGGACGCGAGGGAAGGCGCGAGCACGAGCGACAACCGACCGGAACGCCATGGCAAGCGCGAGAGCAACCAAGTGCAAGTGCGAGGTTTGCAAGGGAAGCCGCAACCCGGGCCCCATGCTCGATGCACGCTGCCCCGCTCGTGCCCAGCTTGCAAGCCCGAAGCAGGCGCGGAATGCAAATCGACTCCGTCATGACGCCTTCCGGCCTGGCCGTGGCACGACCAGCGAGGCCTGGGCAGTGCTCAGCATGCCACCTCACGACGGCATATAGTAGCCAGGACGGCGCTGCCTCGCCCTGCAACCCACACACAGCACTCAACTCGCGACGGGCGGCGGGCGGCGGGCGGCGGGCCAGAGGCAGACGGCGGGCGCTGCTGCGGCGGGCCATTCGCATCAAGTCGCAGATGCAGCACGACTGTCACGCGCTGCCCACTCACTCCTCTCTCCCCCGCCGCCCTCTCAGCAAACCCCCCTCCCCCCATCCTGCTGTCGCCGTAACCTTGAAGCCAGCCACCTGTTCATCTAAGCCTGGCCCTAGAGCCTATTACCCCGCTTCTTGTCTGCAGCGTCTCGCCGCGTCGCTGTACCTCGCCCTCGCCCATGGCCTCACCTATTCACATGTACCTCTACTCGCTGCCGCCAGCGCTGGCGCCAATCCCCCGCTAGCACCCGGCCACTCGCCCTCACGGCGTTGCCCTCGTCCTCCACCATGATGCCTCTGCCCTGCCCTGATTCGCCGCGAGCCTGCCAACCTGACCCTCTTTGTATCCCTTGTACTTGATCAGCGCTCGCGCCTGCAGACAGCTGCCCTACCTGGAATATCATGATGCTCTGCTGCCTTTACTCTGCCCGTCGTATCTTCTGAGCGCTGTCTCGAAGCCGCAATATACGGGGCATGACACTGCACGCGCGGTAGGCACCCGTCGATTCTTCGCCAGTGAACGCTGTCTTGTGCTGGCTGCGAGCCCGCCTTAGGCACCATCGGCATCACCACCAGCATCACCATCAGCATCACCACCACCACCACCAGCATCGTCCTCGTACCCCTCTCCCCCAACCCCCCGTCTGCCGCCATGTCGTGAGTCTCTTCCACCAGCCTTGTCTTTGTCTTGCTCCCGCCCCTCACCCCACCCCCCACCCCCCCTCCAAAAGACAGGCTGCCGTACCATTCTTTTGTTGCCTTCATCTCTTGCACCCTGCCGCGTACAACGCACGCTGACGTCGTGGCCACTGACAGCTCCTCGCCCTCGACCAAGCGCAGCTTGAAGCCTTCACCCATCGCCGCCAACGTGCACCCGACCCTTCAGTCGTCTGGGCCCCCAGAGCTGGCTAGCCTACAGCCAGCGACGTCATTGCCTCCGGCCAACCCAGACGCACATGGTGGCTCTCAGCAGCCACAATCGTCGCCCGTGAGCCGAAAGCGCAAGTCAGTGACACTCGGACAGTCGCAGGAAGCCATGGCGGGTACGACGGAGGGTGCAGAGGGCCGGGCAAGCAGTGCAGCATTGCCAGCGCCTCTGCCGCCGCCGCCTCCGCCGCCGCCGCCGCCGCCGCCGCAGCCGCAGCCGTCGTCTCGTGCGGCAGAGGGAGAGGCGGCGCAGGAGCCAAAGGCTAAAAAGAGCCGCACCAACACGCCGTGGACGCCGGCCGAGGAGTTGAGGTTGAAGCAGATGCGGGACGCCGGTAACAGCTGGAGCGAGATTGCAAAGGTAGGAGATTTGGCCGAGCGACGCGACTTTTGGTCCCTTGGCTTGTTGCAGCAAGACCATCTCTGGTAGAGGCAAACATGGACTGACGTGGGTGCACCGCAGACGTTTCCGCAACGGACCGAGGGGAGTGTGAAGAAGCACTGGTATAAGGTAGGACCACGGACACACGGGGGTGGGGCTCATGTCGACGACGACGGCTCTTCTTTTTTCTTCTTCGCTCTTTCTACTCGACTGACTGGTGGACCAGGACATGCACTACGCCGAATTTGCAGAAGACGAAGTGAGTTGTGCATGGCGACGGTTGTGCACGCATGCTAATGAGTAAGAAGAGCGCGGCGCTGCTTGCCGCTATCAAGGAGTACGACGCCAACAAGTGGAAGGTCATCGGGCAGAAGGTCGGCAAACCTGCAAAAGTATGTTGACTGCCGGATTCGCGTGCACACGGGCAAGGCAAGCATGGACGCTCGTGCTAACGCGCACACCAGGCATGCGAGCAGTACGCCAAGGAGAACTTTGGTGGGAAGTACTGAGCGATGCAACAAGCACGGCAAAGGGCCTGCATCTTGCCGGAACTAGCGGGGTGGGGCCAGCAGGAGGAGAAGGAGGAGGAGGAGGAGGAGGAGGAGGATAATGATGATGATGATACCAGCTTTTTTTCTGTTTCTGTTGCTCTTGTCCTCGTTGTCGTCGCATGCACACAACTGCTGCGGGCATCCGCTTGTTCCTTTGTTGGGGGGTTGGGGGGTTGCAGTAAGTAATGGCGGCGTACACCAAGGAAGGAATGGGTTGTTGCCATGTCCTTTTCTTCGCACCAAACTTGCTTTGGGTTCTTTTTGTGTTATTAGTAGTAATGTGGCCAAGGTTCTTGACTAGGGCGACTCTTGTGTATGTGTGTGTGTGTGTGCTGTTTTTTTTTTTCCTTGCTTGGTCTCACTGCTCGTGTTTTCGGCTATGGGCTCGGTAACGGGAGGTGGGTGGAATATCCTGGGCTTAGTATCGGCTATGGTTAGGTAGCAATGGACCCATGACAAGTGCAGCGTGTCAAACGTGGGGAAAGCTTCGCAGGCGGGCGATATCAAGGCACGGGTGATTGGCCATGTCTTTGTTTCACTAGAACGAATCGCAGGTTTTGTAAGGCCGTTGAACCGAATGTTTCAACGACTCGCCGTACTTTGCACGGCCTGCTCGGTCCCTGGTCGCGGCAGGTTGATCGGCGCGCCCTCCCTCCGCGCCGGTGGTGGTGTACATGCACGCCCATATACCTTCCGACATACCTACCTACTTGTCTACCCGCTTAGCTACACTACACCAGCGCACATACACACGGACACGGACACCTGCACACGTACACACGTAAACGGCGGCCCGCGTGCAAGGCGTGCTACAAAAATAGCCGTTTGGGTGGTTGTGGGCGGCGGCGGCGGCGGCGACGACAACGAGGCCGCGAGGTTGTTGTGCAATCAGCCATTGTATTCGCCATCTGTGTGGTGGTCGCACATGACCACGTGTAACGGCGCAAGTCAGCATCAGCCAAAGAAGGCTCGTCGGGCTACGCTAACGAGCCGCGTTGGGTGGACGGGTGCAGCAGAGCATGCGGTCGGGAGCGGATGCAGAAGGCGGCCAGGTGCAGCGGCGTCGAGGGAGCACGGAAAGGGCGACTTTGTTGCGGTCGTGGTGGTGGTGGTGGTGGTTGTGAGAGCAGAGGCAGACTGCAGGTGACGAGATTCGCTGGCGGCGGGCCAGGCGGCGGTGGTATGAGCGACGGGGGGGATGATTCAGTCGCCCAGCATGCGGCGCAATGCACACTAGACTTGGGGACGGGGGCATGGCGTGGTGTGTTGAAGTGAGGAGGGGCTTGGGTCAGGTAGTGGGTTACATGGACTGGGACGAGCCTATGGTTCCCAAAGGCCCGCATCAGCCTAAATGGATAATGCGCCGCTGGTCGAGTACTTGAAGATTGGACAGGGCCTGGAAGTCTCACATGGCGACAACGGTGAGGTCACGGCGAGGGCTCAGGCTCAGGCAGCGGCAGCGGCAGGGAGGACCTAGGCGGGGCCAGGGGAGGGAGTGGGAGAGGGAGTGGGAGTGGGAGTGGAAGTGGGTGCGCAGGCCCGTAGCCGGGGTGTCACGTGCGCCGGGGGCATTGGAGTCGGCGGCGGCGTGGTGAAGGATGAGGCTCGCGGCAAGCAGCATCAGCAGCAGCAGCAGCAGCAACACCAGCGGCGTGGACTAGCTGTGGCCCCACGATGTGCCAGCCGCCATGCGCCATGCGCCATACGCCGTCGCCGTCGCCGCCGCCGCCCTTCATCTCGTGCATGCATGCGGTCGAGAGATGACCTGTATGCGACCGGTCGGGGGCGGGCAGATCGCGGCGGGCCTGAAGGAGCGAGCCATGCCAAGGCTGCGTGCTCGCTAACCACGGCGCTCTCGCACACTGCACACACAGGCAGGCGCGCAGGCAGGCAGTTAGTCAGTCGGCCCAAGCCAGTCGGTCGACCCCAGTCACTCACTCACTCACTCACGCACTCACGCACTCATTCACTCCCTCGCCATCCACGCATTCACTCGCCCGCCCCCGCCGTCGCAGGCAGTCGCATCGCAGTCGCTGATGTCGTTCGCGTGTGTGGTGTGCCTTGATTGAGGGTCCTCTCTTCATGCCTGGAAAGGCCTTGGCCCGACGGCAAGCCCCATTGAGCATGACGATGGCTTGCAACGACGTGAGCGATGGAGCCGGGCAGGACAGCGTTGGGTCTGCCGGCATTCACGCTGCCGTAGCACCCGCCTGTAAGCAGTGGGACCGAGCCATGGGCAGGGCCCTCTGGTCATGGTTCTCTAACGCATAGGCATGGACGCCTCAGATTGGCTCATGCGTAAGCCGTTTCAAGGTATACATTTTGGACCCTGCCCTATATGCGCTTCGTCATCCGGCGCGCAGTGGGATCTACCAGCCACGAGAATGCGGCCGTGGCCGGGCTGGATGACGCATTGCGGCGGCGGGCTGCAGAGGCAGCAGGCGTGCCGAGAAACGGTGGGCGGCAGCGGAGAGTGGCGCAGAGGGAGAGGCGCGACGTGATGTTTTTTTTCGGCGAGGTTAGTATATGTGAGACAGTAGCTGACAAGGTAACGTGGGCTGGCGGCGGCGGGGTGTGAGTGGGGGGGGGGTTGAGTAGTGAGCAGGTGAGTGAAGAGGGCAAGTCGGGCCAAGTAAGCGAGAGCCAGCGCGCGCAGAGGCGTTCCGGTGACGTCTGGCTGTGATTCGACATTTGTCGTGACAGGCGGCGCTAGTATCGGGCTCTCTTGGACAACACCACCCCCCCATACGCACACCATGCATATGCCCATCACTGTTCGCGTGCCTCGACCCCCCTCCCCCCCCCCGGCTGCGCGCAAACCCCCCTCCCCTCCCAACCTCCTCACCGTCCCTTCCCCTCCCCTTCCCCCCCTACCCAGTCGCCCCCGAGCTGGTTCCGAGCCCTCCTCCTCCTCCCGCGGCCCTGGCTCCCAGCTCCGCGTATGCTGCTACTGCTGCTACCTAATGCTGGCGCGCTACTGCTGCCATACGCCGTCTCATCTATCTGGCATACAGCTCCTCGGTGGCGGCGCTCCCCTTTCGGGCAACTGGGCCACTGGGCCCCTGCCGGGTGGCTAGCCAGTTCAGAACACCCTCAATGCACATGTCCTGGCCACCACGCTGCGCCAGGATGCCTCCTGCAGACGCTGCAACGGCGCTGGAGATCTCTCTTGTGATATTCTAGAAATAAACGACCATGGCATGGACCGCGCACGCCCGGGCCCCACTGGCCCCCGCCGGCCGGGCAAAGTACCTCATTCCCACCTCATTTTGCATGGCCAGCCACTCACGACACGAGCCAGCCAGCATTGCTCTCGTCCAGATCGTGTGCCCGGGGGGGGGGGTCACGCCCCCTCGCCCTGGTCATTGATCACCGCATTATGCTTGAACGTAGAATCAGTTCCTGGGCCTTCCCTACTAAGCTCATTTGGTCCTCCTCAGGAACAGAGCGTCTCGTGGGAGAGGACCCATTGCTGTACATGCTTGGATCCTGTGTCCGTGTGGCAATCGCACAAGACGGACCGGGCTTTGCAAAGGACGTTCTGCCCCCGACCTTCTTAATGCCTTGTGCCCTCAGGCACGCATATCTTATAATTCACACAACTGTCCCCGAACATACCTGCCTTTTTTTTTGCTTGTTCCCTACAAGGCTACCACCCTATATCTGCCTACCCCAACGCTTAACACCACGCGATAACACTTTGTCTGATGGCGCGTTCCCTTAACCTCTTCCTGCTCCAACATTTGTCAATATAGAAATATTCTCAAAGATACCCAAACACGTGCGACATTATCCATCGCATCTCCCACCACACACACACACACACCAACCAACCAACCAACCACTCACACCGACTCGTTCCGAGACGCCCATTTTGATCTTTCAACTTTTTTCCTCCTTCCTCTTCTTTCCCTCCTTTTCCTTCCCCCCCCTTCTGGCTCAGGTCTCATTACGGCGGCCTGCCAGAGCATTTTAGCTCTGGTAGTCTCCATGCGTATTCGCAACACTGGCGAGTCCCTATCGAGGCCCTTTCCTCGACTACAGCGTACCAGGCAATGCCGGGGAAGAGCACCACATTCCGACCTCAAACGTCGAACACTCAAATGTTCTTCATTCCCACACCGGATTGCCTCCGGGTTACCACCACTCCTTCCTGCAGCCACACCCGTCTCAGACGATTCAACATGCTGGCGCCGGCTCTCATCCTGCCTACACGGACATCGACACACACCCACTGCACCAGCCCCATCTTCTGCGCCATCCCTCCATGTCGCAGCACTCTCCCTCTTCCTACAACGTGGGCTATCCACCGCCTCAGCAGGCCGCCGGACGCAAGCGCAGCCACCAGGACGACTTGCCCCACGACCTTGCCCCAAGCCTAGAGCAGCAGCTCAACCCCTACGCCCAGGCAGCAGGCAGTGTCTCTCTGCAACACGCGACTCAGAGCTACTCGATGCAACAGTATCCGCCGCCGCCACCAGCCCCGCAGTCTACCCTACCTCCCACCCACCATCACCATCTGCCCAGCAGCCATCGCAATAAAAGACACCACACCATGGAGGGCGCACCTCCCTCTCCCTCGCATCACCATGGCCCTCCGAGCGTCGTAGGCCAAGAGGGAATGCCTGCACCCGCACAACGGCCCCGCGGCCCGAAGCTCAAGTTTACCCCCGAGGACGACCAGCTCCTCGTCGACCTCAAAGAAAAGAAGAATCTCACCTGGAAGCAAATTGCAGACTTTTTCCCAGGCCGCAGTTCCGGTACCCTGCAAGTGCGTTACTGCACCAAGCTCAAAGCAAAGACGACGGTTTGGACGTCAGAGATGGTATGTCCATAGTTCCCTCACCCCCCCCCTAGTCATGAAACACGCAACGTCGTGCGTGACAAGCAGCAATACCGGGATATGCTAACCGCAGTTTCCCATTCAACAGGTCGACAAGCTTCGCAATGCCATGCAGGAGTACGAAAACGACCGTTGGCGCATCATCTCGTCCAAGGTTGGCAGCGGTTTCTCGCCCGCCGCGTGTAGAGACAAGGCAGAGGAACTCCAGGCAGTGGAGCTTGCTCAACAAGAAGCACAAGAAGGCGAGCATTCACAACTTCAACATCAAAGCGCCTATGCACCCTCACAAATGGGACCTGACTCAAGCGATTCAGGAGCAAGATACCACTGACTGGCCGACGGCGACGGCGACGGCTTAACCAACGCAGTCGGGTCTCTTCATTTATGGTGAGCAAACATAGGGGGGGAGGTGTTGCTTTGGGGACAACGAGCAGAAGAGATGGGTGGCAGGGTTGGTGCTGGTCACAAACGCCTTCTGTCCCACCCATCTCACTGGCTGACTCGGCCGGACTACGCCTGCATTTGCCTCTGCCGTCTGTGCACCTTTTCTCTCCATCTCCGGGGGGGGGGGGCTCTGACAATGTGAACACATGCGTCGAACTGGAATTGCTCTCTATGTAAAGCGGACATGTCAGACTCCGCAATGCTTGTTACAGGATTTGAGACAGGATAGATAAAAACAGTGCAAGAACGGGGTATATTACAAATAACACATGTAGTAGTAGTAAAAGAAGAAGAAGAAAAAAACCAAGAAAAAAAAGAACCGGATAGTGGTCCAGTGTAGAGCCGCATCGCTACCCAAGACAGGTCATTCTACCCGTAACGCTGAAACATAGACGAGCTTTGTGTGTAACGTCGCACAGAAAAGTGAGGAAAAATAACTAGTTTGTATAGAAGAGAAGAAGAAGAAGAAAGAGAAAAAAAGAAAGAATAATGCATGGTGTAAGATAGAAGTAGAACAAATACCGCCAGTGTAGTACAAAGGAGAAGAGAAAGGGGACAAGAAACAAACAGAGTAGGGTAAAGACGAACAAGTGAGAACAGGCGCCTTTGCGAGTTATGCCTGGTCTTCTTCCCTTCTCTTGCTCCATTGACACGCCCTCGAAACACAAAGTGCCTTCTCGCCAAGTTTGCCTTGCAGGAGTCGTCAAGTGCGTCAGGACATTTGCCATCTCTTTTTTCATGCCGCGCCATCCGATCCAGAACCCCAACGTCCTCATATCATGTTTCCCAGTTTGCCCCCGTCTTGCCAACGCCGCCGCAATGCTCGACTCGCTTGTAGTGTCGCGTGTCGAAAGAAGATGTACGTATTCCCAAGTATATGCGGAAAAGGGACCGTGTGCGTGTGTGTCTGTGTATAGAAGAGGAAAAGCACACGGTGACCCAATCGTAGTACGTCGTATAAGGGAGATTTTAGTGATTAGAGCAAAGAAAAAACGAAAAAAAGATAAGAGAAAGAAAGAAAAAAGACATCTCGGTCCAAAAGAAGCATCGCAAATACGGTAAGCAAGCCACAAAGATAGAGACAAACGGTCGAAACACGCCGGCTTATTGGTCTCATGTACTGTGACACGGGTACATGAAAAAAAGATGGGCAGAAGCCGCTACTGCACCCAGCATCAACGTCACGACAAGCGAGCAGGTACCCATGCTGGCGGATGTGAGTGTGTCTGCATCGTTAAGTGATAGTCTGGGGGGGGTCTCGGTCTTTGCTTTGTGTCTCGAATGCAATCGTTTCAGATCTTGACGTGCGCGCAGCCGAACGAACGATGAGTCTGCTGCCATCTTGAGACGGCTCTAGCCGCAGCCGGCCTTTTTGACATGAACTTGATCATCCCTGTGCCAAGGCTCCTGTATGTAATACGCGTATTGGGAGGGGGGAACCGGGCGAGTCTGACAGTGCATGATGTGTATGTGGTGTGATTTGTGTATACTAACAAGCTAGACGTCATGTATTGAATACACACACACACACACACACACGCAGACGCAGACACACCAGACAGCCACGACGCATTGCGGAAGCATGAGGGAGATTTGGCAGTAGCAAAGAGGGCTCCTCCTCCTTCTCCCTCTCTCTGCGTTACACACTGGCACGGGACAACGAGTTTCCGCTTTTGCCAACGGGATCCACGATACCGTCATTCTCGCCCGTTAGGCTTGCTCTACCACCCCCCTTTGCCTCAACAACAAGCTACTTACTTGCCTATCACGACGACGACAAACTATTGACGGGCCCCATGACAAACACAGCCTTCCCATCCACGCAATGCACCCACCCCCACTGGGCGGCCCCAGCCCATTCCCCCCCCCCCTTCCCTCTCCGTTGCTGGCAATATTGGAAAACAAAAAAAAGGGCCCCACGCCTTTCGTTAACGGTAATTGTCGCGATACATAGCCACGGCGGTACCAAGTCCTCCGGCCCCAAAACACGTACATGATGGCGCACACACACACACGCGCGCGCGCGTTCAATAAAAAAAATGGCAACAGATGCCCAAGTAAGACCAACGCAACACAGACGGAGAACACCGGTTTTGGGTTTATTCTTTTTTTTTGACTTTCTGGATATTTTTTCCCATGGAAGAAAAAAAACGGCTTGCCGGATGGCGGGTCCTCTTTTTTTGGCAAACCCACTTACACACACACACACACACACACTCACACACACGCGCGCGTGCACATACACAATACATAGCAAGGCACCGTGTATCCCTGTCTATAATAGACACAAGTCCCGGGCGCGGGTTAGTGTGTACATGTAGGGCAATAGACTTGCGGGAGATGGCAAAGCAAAGCACATACACACACAGACACAGAGAGAGAGGCCTAGTAGATACAGACAGATGCAGATGGCAATAAGCTAGTAGCTCGCTACTGTTGCGGCAAACGGTGCCCAACAGCCAAGAGGAAAGGGTGTGTGTGTGTGTGTGTGTGTGTGTGTGTGGTTAGGATGCGGGTTGGGATGGATGGAGCGGAAGGTTAGTAGGGCCGGGGGAAAGTGGGGACTCTGTGTACAAGTAAGGATATGGCCGGTATCGAATTGGAACGGGGGGGGGTGGTTAGTTAGCCACCACCGACAGCGAAGCGAGGACAAAGCAAGGAACCCAACCATCATCCGCCCGCCAACCATGTTTACCGAGACAAAGTATCAGCGCGGGAGGGCGGGAGAGAGAGAGAGAGAGAGAGAGAGAAAGAAAACAGGGGCGCCACATTTCAACCTTCTCGTACTCGGAGTATGTGTAGTACATAGACTTGCCGTCTCTTTTTCTTTTCTTTTCTTCTTTCTCTCTCTCCCTCTTAGCAGGTGCCGCGACGCCGGGTCTTTTTTGGCAATCACCGTTGCATACAAGGGGTCCCCTTTACGGGCGTCGGAGCAATAACGCGCGGGAGCGTAAGCGGCCTCCCGCGACGAGGACACGATTCTTGACACTATTGGGAGACGCTCGGATGCCTTTGCCTTTGCCTTTTTTTTCCTTCTTCTTCTTCTTCTTCTTTCTTTCTTGAATGAGAGATGGAAACGGTATCGATATTGGACTTGGCCGGGGGTGCGAGCGAGGGACGCATGGATGGATGGATGGGGGTAGATTGCGTACATAGTTTAGTCAAGGGCAAGGGCAAGAGAGAGAGAGAGAGAGAGTGTGTGTGTGTGTGTGTGTGTCTGTGTGAGCCCCAAGTCGTGTCTGTTGCTTATCCGATAGCTTTTCTTGATTCTTGATTTTTGGCTTTGTTTTGTTTTTTTCTCTTTTCTGCCTTCCTTTCATCGGATTGACCCTGCTATCCCCCCCCCCCCCCACCAACCACCCCCGTCCATGGCTCTTTTTGTTTTGCTGTGTTAGCCCCAACCCCCCAACCACCCCCCTGAGCTGGCGATAAACACGGCAAAAAGGGCAATAAAGTAAGGCAGATGATGAGTAGTGGCATTGCCGAGGTAATGCGGGTACGAAGGAAGCAACAGAAAAAAAACCCCCGCTCTCCTCGTGTTGAAAACAAATGTCATGGTGGAAAATGGCCTGGTAAACAAAGCCGAAGCAAAACCAAATACTTGATCAAAAAACCAACGACAAGTGTAGAATTCCCCGGTTGGCTGGCAATGACTGCCGTTTGCGGTTTCTTTTTTCCCTGCTGCTGGTGTTTCTTTTGTGCCCTTTGTCTTTCTCTCTCTCTCTTCGGGGGCATGCCGACACGCCATGGGCCTGTCGTTTGATATTCTGCTTTTCCTCGGGCGGCCGTTCAGGCTGTGAACCGTTGGAAAAAGCGTGATTGCTAGGCGTGGACCCTGGTCTGAGGATCGCCTCGCCTCCACGCCCCCCATCCACGACCCCCCTTGGCCGTTGTTCAATGGCGGCTTCAGCACCAACCACCCTGTTCTGGACAAAAGATGCGGCGGAGAAGCTTACCCGTCTGGGAAGGCGAAGGCTGGGTGAGGCTGGCCACACAGGCGCGCGCGCTCCCCCAGCAGCACGTCGCGACCATGGCGACGCCTTCACGACCGGGCGGCAGACAGGCAGGCAGACAGGCAGGCAAGCCGGCCATGAAGGCGCTCAGGGGTCGGCTAGTGACCAGACGGGGCTGTCGGGAGTCATTTGCGCTATCAAGTATATTGCCATTTGTTTCGTCAGATGCTTATGTCGCTGCATGTGAAGCCGGCCGCTGCTGATGGAAGCTCGCGACGACCATGGCCTCCCCGTCGGCGCGCTGCTCGCCAAAACCTGCCCCTCGCCGTCTCTGATGCCTGCCGCCGAGCCAGCCAGGCTCTCGTCGTCGTGCTGCTGATGCTGGTGCTGGTGCTGATGCTGATGCTGATGCTGATGCTGATGCCGCTGCCGCTGTACACCGCTGCCCATGGAGCCGATATCGAGTGATCGACATATTGGCCCCCCTCGTCCGGGGGCGCGCAGCAAAGAGAAAAACACGGGAGATCCAGGCGGACCAAACGGGACTGTGGGCCTCGCCTATTTGGGCAAGCACGTAATACGCCCGATGGCCGACACCGAAGGGAACACACGGCCATGGGGGGCATCGGGGAAGCCTCATCGTCGTCATCACCACCACCACCACCACCACCAGTCGCCTGCACCCACGCCTGGCCACCCCATCCTCGCCGCCTGCCGTGTGACGACGCCAACATGACTCTTCGCGAGACGGCGGGGCGGCAAGAGGGCGGCAAAGCTACACCATCTTGCACCGCCTGCTTGGGGCTAGTCGCGCGAGGTGCAGTCAAGGAGTGGGAGCAACGGAGATCCTGTCCTCTCCATCGGCAACGGCTCGTATCGGAATGTGGGGAAATAGTCATGGCCTGACAGGTCGGAGGCAGCATGCCACAGGCCCGACGCCGAGGATGAATCAACACGTCGCTTATGGCCAAGGTCATGAGCGAGCACCTGTCTGTGTGCCTGTGTGTGTGTGTGCCAGACAAGGCCGCCGTGCAGAAAAGGCCGCCTCAACAGAATGGCCTCTTTCACGCGCACGCAATTCGGGCAAATGGATGCGACGCACATGTTGGCGATGGGTGACCCTGGCCGTCCAAAAAGCCCTCCGTTGTGTTGTCTGTCGTTGCTGACTCGGGCGGTACATATGAAACACTTGACGATGGCTCACACTACTGTCGAGTATTACCTTGGGTCGGTCCGACGTGACCCTTTGCAACCGTCTGACTAGCCGTTAGTGATGCTCGTCCAGGCCACGGGCCCAGCATGCCCAATCCACTCCATGCCACACGGTGGGTATCATGGCACCACACTGGCAGCAACCAGCAAGGGCACACCGGGCCTAAGTAGCCCGCCCTTGCTGCACTTGCTGCTTGCACCGTGTGCCAAGCGTCGTCGTCGACGATACCTACATGTGACCATGGCCCTGTCAATCGGCGGGCACTCAAGGCGAGCGGGTACGAATAATACTCCGGCCACCCTTATGCATTACGCTGCAGTCTCCGAAACCAAAAATGTCCACCCCTCGCCCACCATGGCCAACCCGCATCCAAATTGCCTGACCCTCTTGCCACGCTCGCGCGCGCTCCACTGCTAGCTCTAGACCTTTGTGCCAAAAAAAAAGTTTCTTTTCGTGCACCATGGCACATGCGCCATGGCATAGTCAAGCTCCACTGTTTTTTTTTTCTTACTTACTCCCGCACATGCTCAATTGGCTCCAGCCTAGTCCGCATCCATCCGTCCAGAAAGAAGGAAATACAAAAAAAAAAACAGGTGCCAACCAGCCATACATAAAAACCTGACATAAACAGGGCAGCTTTGCATACGAGACTGAAGAGAGAGAGAGAGAGAGAGAGAGAGAGAAAATGCTCAAAAAGTAATTTTTTGCATGGCCGTATCAAGAAAGCCACATAGCCGTGTCAGAAGTGGGGCTCCTTTTTT